TGTCTTCTATGACCAAGCCAGTTTTGTATCCAACTAACGAACTCACCGAGGCTCTCATGTGACTCAATCTTCTGGACCAAGAGGAACCTTGTCAAATGCTTTGGTAAAGTCCATGTAGACATCAGCCATTGCCCTACCCTTATTAATCAGCTTCATCACTTCCTCAAAAAACTCAATCAAATTTGTGAGACAATACCTCCCTTGCATAAAGCCATGCTGGCTATCCCTAATAAGTCCATTCTTTTCCAAATGTTAAAAATACCTTGTCCCGAAGAATCTTCTCCAATAATTTTCCTACCACTGACGTAAAGTTCACCAGCCTATAATTTCCTGGACTATCCTTGTTGCCACTAATTAAACATAGGAACAATGTTGGCTATGCTCCAGTCTTTTGGGATCTTGCCTGTGGCTAAAGAGGATACAAAGATCTCCGTCAATGTCCCAGCAATCCCCTCACTTGCCTCTCAGTATCAGTCCCTGTTTTTCAAGACACCTAACACCACCTCCTTCTTAACATCGACTTGTCCTAGAATATCAACATATCTCTCCCTAATCTTATCATCATCCACATCTTTCTCCTTGGCAAATAGTGATGTGAAGGACCTCACCCATTTCCTCTGGCTCTACATCCTCCTTTAAATTCCCTCCTTTGTCCTTCAGTGGACTTATCTTTTCATTAGCTAACCTCCTGTTCCTAATATATGTATAAAATGCTTTGGGATTCTCCTTGCCAAGCACATTTCATGGTCCCTTTTAGCCTACCTAATTTCTTGCCTAAGTTCTTTCCTGCTTCCTTTATATTCATCAAGGGCCTGGTCTGATTTTAGATTCCTAAACCTTACATTTGCTTCCTTTCACTTTTTGTCGAAACTTTCAATATCTCCTGTCATCCAGTGTTTCTGAATCTTGACATCCTTGTCTTTCATCCTCACAGGAATATGTTGGCCTTGAACTCTGAACAACTGGCCTTTAAAAGACTCCCTCATGTCAGATGTGGATTTACTCTCAAACAGCTGCCCTAATCTTATTTGTCCAGTTCTTGTCTAATACTGCTGTAATTAGCCTTTCCTCAATTTAGCACTTGCAGCCGAGGGCCAGTCTTATCTTTATCCATAAGTATTTTAAAATTTACAGAATTATGATCATTGTTCCCAAAATGCTCACCCATTGAAACTTCAATCATCTGACCAGGCTCATTCCTGAGCATAGATCTAGTACAGTCCCTTCTCTAGTTGGACTGTCTATATATTGTTTTAAGAATCGTTCCTGGATGGACATAACAAATCCTGCTCCATCAAAGCCCCTGGCACTAACGGAGCCCCAGTCCATAGTGGAGAAGTTAAAGATCAGCCACGATGATAACTCTGTTGTCTTTACATCTTTCCATGATCTGCCTACGTACCTGTTCTTCTATCACCTGTTGGCTGCTGGAAGTATAATTTCATGATAATGATTGCACCTTTCTCTGTTCCCAGTCCTACCCATATGGCCTCACCGGATGAGCCTTCCAAGATGTGCTCTCTTAGTGCAGCTGTGATATTCTCCTTAATCAGTAATGCAACTCCCTCACCTCCGCCCCTAATGGCTGAACAAAGAACAGCATAGTATAATGAGCTGGTGGAGTGAACTGTGATTCATGTGAGGTGAGGGAAACGAAGATGATAAATACATTTATAAATAAAAGGCATCAGGGTGTTAGATCAAAAGACAAAGTTTATCCTCAAACAGATTGTGTTGACTGCAATCACAGCTATACATTATCGCATCAGATACATTGGATGGAACGGCTTGAATTTTTGTAAAGGTGAAGAACTTCTGTAATTACAAGAATGGCAGATGTCTGAATCCAGAAGTTATGCCCCCAAACCCAACTCCTTTGTTACTACTTATGTGGGATGTGGGGATTGTGGGGGTGGGGGTGGGGGGTGGTTGTGGGGGTGGTGTTGGGGTTGAGATGACAATTGAAGAGTGAGACAGGGGGAGAATGAGAAAAAAAAAGAACGAAAAGGTATGGATTATAAGTGGAGGCTACTGCACCTGTTGAAGCCTGCCAGGCTGATCTGATTTTCACTAGTACATGACTGGTGCAGGAATTTATGATTCTGTGATTCTACAAGTTGTTTGTAGACGTAGTTTGTCCTTTTAAATAGGTAAGATATCTTCTGGATCTGGCCCCAGGATAACTTTGAGGGAGGTTAGCAGCCCCTTGTAAAACCTGAGGTGAAGTTATGTAAAACCTTTTTATCACTTCCAAAGATAACTATGAAAGATTTCAAATAGATGTCTAAACTACGAAATTCAACTTGGGCCAATGACTTATGTTGCCAAAGAATTAAGAATTTATTACAAAGTTAGAGATGATCCACAAAATTAATTAGTAGATTCAAGTGTCAGCTTGGCTCAATGATAGAAATGTCGCTTCAGAGCCAGATTTAAGACCCCGTTTCCCCAAATCCCCAAAGGGTTTAGACACAAAATCTGAGCTGAAGTTTCAGTGTAATCTGATGAAGTATTAAACAAAAACCTGAAATGGCAGTTCACATGAATGCAAAATACCCAATCACAAAATTGAAAGAAAAGCAAAGCAATCTGTGTAGTGTTTTGCTCAATATTTCTCTCTCAACCCAGCACCAATAAAATGGACTAAACCAGTCATTTATCTGTGCAAATCAGCTGCTCCATCTAGCTATGATTCAAAATAAACCATTAGCTAATCCTGATAACATGGAATGCACTGTAAACATCCCAGACATAACGCTGGTATAGTAGTGATTATGAGCCTTTAGCTAATTATTATGATGGTAATGCTGAACAAGCCAGGTCCCAGAGTGAAACCTGGCTTGTTAGACCATGAGCTTTACAATTACAATTTGTTTACCATGGTGGTCAGTCACTGAACATACTCACAAGAGGCTGCTGATGTACTTTTAACAATAGAACATCAAAGTTTATATCACACAAATGGGGGAAAAAAAAACTATTTTACACTATATATTAAAATTCTGAAATGGACTTATTATAAATATTACCCTTAACAACAACTTTACTGATACTGGAACCTCAGTGAAGGATCACCCAATTTTCACTTTAAAATTTCTTGTTCAGTGACATGGCTGTACCTGGTTTCTTTCTGGAAAACTTCTACATTCTCTTTAATTAATGTCTCTTTAATTAATGTCTCCTTAAACAAACTGCTAACACAGTTCACTTTGAGCGCTTCTTAAACTCACGTATTCAACTGCCCTGTAGGAATTCTTCTTCTCTAACACCTTAAAAACCTTCATTTTCTGAAAGGGGTAGTAGGAACTGCCGATGCTGCAGAATCTGATATAACAAGGTGTAGAGCTGGATGAACACAGCAAGCCAAGCAGCATCAGAGGAGCAGGAAAGCTTACGTTTTAGGTCTAAACCCTTCTTCAGAAAAATGAAACAAGAGATTTTTCTGAAGAAAGGTCTAGGCCCGAAACGTCAACTTTCCTGCTCCTCTGATGCTGCTTGGCCTGCTGTGTTCATCCAGGTCTACAGCTTGCTATATTCATTTTCTGAAATTTTTCTTTTACAAACATTTAAGCCACACAGGACTTCTTTTGCTTTGACTGTTTTGAAGACTGATAAACTGCCTTGCTGATAATACAGGCTTTTTTCCTCTCTGAATGACCGAGCTCAAAGAAATCTGTATATTTACTGACCTTCTCGATGGCTATCTCCTTCTAAAAGGAATATGGTTTCTGTCTCTATCATGGCCTTGCTGTGTCATAAGACACCTCGTTGCTATGCAACCGTCCAATTTCTCTTTTTCTCTTCTACCTTGTTTTCTAAAGCAGTGAATTATTCACCTCAAGGATTTGAAAAAAAAACCTAATTTAAATACAGGTAAGGACCTCCAAACAACCTGGCACCACTCAGAACTCAAAATGTAATATGGAACTAAAGTTGTGTTTTTGCCCTTCTTAGCCCAAACAGATCAAACTTCAAAAGCTATGCACGGTCCTGTCTATGATAGAATCCATATTTCCACATAATAATATATCATGAAAGTTCATCACCGAAAAGGAATATAAAAGGCAAAGGCTATATCTAATGGTAAATCTAGCCATAATCTTAGTAAGCTCACAGTTGGTGTGCTGTTTGCTGTTTTGGGTTCCATAATATGGCAAAGACATTGAGTCCATAGAATGCAATGGAGATTCCCAAGAGCTGGCATGAGCAACACAATGACATAGAAAGACTTGAGAACTTTCACCAGAGAAAGAAAATTATAGGTTAAGTGGGAAGAGGCTATTTCCAATTCACACCAGGAGTGGTTCAGGGCTCTTGGGTCTGCACTGGATGGAATTTAGAAGGATGGGGTGGATCTGATTGAAACTTACAAAATACTCAGACCTGGATAGAGTGGACATGGAGAAGGTGTTTCTACTAGTATGAGAGACTACGACCAGATGGCATAGCCTCAGAGTGAAGGGCTGACCTATTAGAACTGAGATGAGGAAGAATTTCTTCAGCCAGAGGGTGGTTAATCTGTGGAACTCATTGCCACAGAGGGCTGTCGTGATCAAGTATTTGAGTGTATTTAAAACAAGAGATAGTTAGGTTCATGATTTGTAAGGGAATCAAGAGTTAAGGGGACAAGGCAGGAGAATAGGATTAAGAAATATATCAGCCATGATCAAATGGTGGAGCAGACTTGATGGGCCAAATTCTGCTCCTTTATCTCATGGTTTTACGGTCTAAGATTTAAGGTCACATAGTTTAAATATAAGAGATTGGGAACAGAAAGCAGAGGGCTTAGGGGGCATTTAATGCAATCTTGCAGTTAGTGACTAATACAAAGATAGTTACCAGCTGTTAAAATTGTCAAAAAGGTGACTGTGGAAGATAGAAGGATGCAGGAACTTGGGACTAGTAAAATTGCTTATGCAGAGGGTAAATATTATTATGGGCTGTTTGGGATGAATGTTTCCATGTTACAATTTCTATATAACAACAAAACCCATCCTTACCTGCAGCATGTTGAGGAGCAAGCTTCGGAATTTAGTTCCTTCCACCATGAAGAGAGACATCTTGTCACATAGTCTGGCAGCTGTTGAAGCAAAGCTCCTGTCTGTTATAGCCTTGTGATAAATAGTCTTAACTATCTCAGTTAGCATCTCTTCTGAGTTGGTAGAGTTTTGTGCCTCCTCCATAAAGGTGGTGAGGTTGGAGTCCACATCACTATTGTTGTTCCTCATGCTGTTGAGGATTTCTATCAACTTGTCCATTTTGGTTCGCTGAGGGTTTGGTGTCTCCATTGAAATTTCATCCTGCAGCATTCAAAAATAGTTCAACCCCACTTAAATGGTATTTTAATTATTTTGCTTTCTCTTCATGCTTTAAGGTTCAGTTACTGTTTTTTTAAAAGTCAAATAGGTTTGAAATTGAATGGGAACAAAGGACGTAAGATGCAACTAATATAGAAGACAGAAAAATTAGTCTGGAGACAAGAAGGCTTTTGCCATATTTAATTTGGTCTTACCCTACTGAAACAATACTGGGCCCAATTTTAACTCACTCACAATCCACTTCACTCACACAGAGTTAAAATCAGTTTCACTGGTTCCTGGAAATGAGTCAGACATTTTAAAATTCAAAAACTTGTCACTGTATTCTCATTATGTAAGGAACTAAACCGGATAGTCATTAGAGACCAGTCTGAATAAGTTTAACTGAAAAGTTATAAGTATATATGTACTGTCATGACCACAGATCATTATCTTAGACATGGTCATATGGACATATCTAAGTTTAATTATAATGTTTTTTTTAAAAGAAAAGGACATCCAGCTTAAAGTTGACTGCATATGTAAATTCAGTATGCCACTCTGGAATGTCATATCCGACCAGGTGTCAAAGAAACTGCAAAGAGAACATGCACTTGAAACAGAATGTGCAGTATCTTGGGAGTATCTCAGGCTGTGAACATGATTAAAAAAGACAGCAGTCTGGATGATATTTGCATTTTGCCCTTTTAAGGATATACAAGGACAAGAATTAAAAGGGAGCTTCAACCCTCGTCTGTGTGAGTTAGTGGCCTGGTGTGCTGTGAGGGTCACAGCTCTGAGAGTGGCCATTTAAACACCTCTGCATTGCAGGGAAAGGGAACAGAATTCCGCTCACCGAGCGCTGCAAGTCAACCATTGCCAAAAAGAATCAGGATAAAAAACTTTCCACAACCTACAAAGTCATAAATCCCAAAATAGACTGCTCAATTACCAACATTGATACTACCTGCAACATCCATCTATCTGCCCTCCATGAATAGTTCAGAGACTGATCTGTACATCTTTTTGAAGTTTTATCTTTCTGGGCTCACAGTTTATTTTTAACTTGTGAGCAATGTGTGCCGTGTTACTATTTCTTCATGCATTTTGCAATGATTATAAATCTCACTTTTGTAAATTTAAGAAAGACTGATTAAATTGTTTCTTTGTGAAACAGAAGTACTCAGAGAATGAGTCACAGAGAATGATAATCCAGGAGTGAAGGGATCCTTATCGAAACCAACCTTGCTGCAACCAACTGAAGAGGCATGTAAATGACCAAGGGGAGCCATTGCAACTCTCCCCACCCAGGAGTTCAACAGTTTGAGTATTCTGTCTAAAATCATAACAAAGTGGGGAAGCTTACCCCGACACTGGCTGTAACAGTATATTTTCAAAGTCCATTGAATAAGCCAAGTATTTAAACCAATTAATGTCCACAACAGGGCCTCAGATTTCGCTCATTCAAAGGCAGTCAGTGCCTGATCCAGGGACGTAGCATCAGGAAGGGGAGGAGCCTACTGGGAACCATCCCCTACTTTTGCTGCTGACACCACTCCCCTGCAATCCCATTCCTGTCCACTCGGATCAAGTGATGATACTAGGCCCTGGATGGGTGCTGGTTTGATCAGCAAACAAAAATTAGTCCTGTTTTCTCTAGGATTCGGGACCAAATGTAATATTTCCAAATGTGTGGATTACACAAAACTGAGCAGGAATGAGTGTTGTGACAAAAATGTCAATGGCTTCAGGAGGATTTGAACAGGCTAAGTGAATGGGCAAGAACATGGCAGATGGAATATAATGCAGAGGAATGAATGATTATCCATTTTGGTTTGAAGGACAGATGTCCAGAGTGATGATTGGAAACAGGTGGATCTCATCGATTGAGATCCTTGATTGGGGTCATTAACCTGGGCCAAACAGGAAGCCCAAGCTGTCCAAAATAAACATGGGATTCTGAATCTCCTCAGTTCAGGGACTGACTCTGAGCTGGCTGGCCACAACCAGTGTACTGTACACATGTAAATAAAGAGTGACTTGGTGATGGGATGTCGGCCTCTGTACAGCCATTTCACAGCATATTTCTCAGATGAGGAGGTTGGAAAGCGTAAATGTGCAAAGAGTCTGGGATGCTGTTGTCAATGAGTAATGAATGTTAATTTTCATCACAAGTGGATTTGAGTATAGAAGTAGTGAAGTCTTGCTTCAATTGTATATGAACTTGATTAGATCATACCTGGAGTATTGTGTGCATTTTAGACCCTATCTCAGGAAGGATATTATCATCATAGAGGGAGTACAACGAAGGTTCACTAGACTTCTTTCTAGAATGGCAGGGCTATCCTATGAAGAGAGATTGGGCAAACTAGACGTATTCTCTCGAGTTCAGAAGTATGAGAGGTGATCTCATTGAAATGTACAAAGACTGAAAGGGATAGACAGGATAGTGTAGATTTGATGTTTCTCCTCACTGGGGAATATGAATCCAGTGAGTCTAATTTCTAAATAAGGGCATATCATTTAGGACCAAGATGAGGAGATGTTTTTGTTTACTCATTGGGTTGTGAATATTTGGAATTTTCTACTCCTGCATAGTGAGTTATAATTGTCTGATGACAAACGGTGTAAAAGGTATGAGGACGGGCTGGGTAAAAGGCATCAAAGTGTTAGATCAGTCATGAATGACAAGCTGAATGACTGGCTCCTGTTGCCATGTTTCTATGCCAATCAGAAGTTTTGAAAAGAAGTGGATTTCATAGATAGGAGCAGTTGGATCCCTCGAGGCAAAGGGATATAGAGGAAGAATTCCAGAGCACAGGACAAAGTTGATTATCGTTGAATGGTTACAATATAGGAGCATGCCATACAGCTTGTTGTGTGCATGCCAGATTTACACAACAACAACTCAGCTAGTCCCACCACTGCCCCCATCATCTTCCGCCACAGAGAAAGGAGCATAGTGTAGGCAGTAACAGCTGTTGACTCTAATGACTTCTGGCTGCTGTCACAGGAAATCTATCCTTAGATTTCAATGCATCTCTGTTGGAGAGAAATACCACTAACGTTTTTGGTCATATTTGCCTTGCTGCTTGCCTCTTTTTGATCCTCTGCCCTAGGAGTGCCCTGCTAATGGCTTCAAAATACAGTCCCAACTGATACTACCAGGGAAAAACTAGGTGAGTGATACTTTGTCCAATATTCATTCTCACGTAAACATAATTCCTGCCATGCTTCAAGTGTTCAGGGGATCCCAGATTGTCAAGGGTGCTGGACCTTTTGCCCCACCCATGTGGCTGGGAAACAAGTGTTCCTTGAATTCAAACTGGGAAAATGTGGGGCCAATATACTTACTCATGTTCAGTCAGGATTGCAGTAGATTGTAACAAAAACCGAAAGAACTGCAGATGCTGTAAATCAGGAGCAAAAACAAAGTTGCTGGAAAAGCTCAGCAGGTCTGGCAGCATCTGTGAAGGAAAAAAACAGAGTTAACGTTTCGGGTCCGGTGACCCTTCCTCAGAACTGAAAGTTCTGCCAGATGCTGCCAGACCTGCTGAGCTTTTCCAGCAACTTTATTCTTGTTACAATAGATCATCCCTCCTCCTAATTACTTAGTGTAACTAACTCCATTTCTGGCAATTTAGATGCATTACATTCGTTACAAAGTAATGACAGAAAATGGACAATTGTCCTAATTTCACACGTCCACTCATGCTCTGGATGCAAGTAAAAGTCAGTATCCCAACCTGTTTCTTTGCTCCTCTGAGAATTTGAAAATAAATGATACGTGTAAAACATATAATTAGGGTGCCTTACATTAATAACATTGCCCAAGACAACAGAAACACAGTCTAACAGATTAGAAAGATGTTAAGACCAGAATAAAACGTCACCACTCAATTTAATGCAGGTAGTTTTACATCATGAGGCATTCTTAAATTGAAGTTGTTTTTGCCACAACAAATACATTCCTTAAGTTTTAAACTCCAGCACAAAAATACTCCCTAAAAACCACATGTCAGTGACAAATTTCACTGGATTAAAGGACTAAATTCAGAAATTGAACCAACAGGCTTTCAGACTGTGATTATTCTAATTAGGGCCTCTAACCTTGAGTCCTACCACTCCCACCTGGTGATCCTTTAATTTGAGGAACATGAAGCTCCTTCTGCTACTTTCCTTGAAACAAAATCAAAGTGTTGCTATTAATATACTTTTTAAAAAACCCTCAATCCATTTACTCCATAGATATTAATCTAGCCCCCTTTAAAGATGCAAATTAACTCCAAATTAATTCCCTTCTTGGAGTACGGTCTGCAAGTTGACTATTCTTTGACAGTGGGAGGGGAAATCTTTGTCCAATCTCTAATGTTTCGCAAGGCTTGCAAATTTTATCCACGACTTCTTACACAACATTCGTTTTCAATTTAAATAGCTTGTTTACTTCAATATTATTTGCAAGGCGAGTATCATGACTTTTTTTTTCTTCTCTGATAAAACTCAATTCAGTCACATGAACCTTTCTTCATAAAAGTCTCTTAAAGCCGGCAATTGTTTTTCTTATGAATTTATACCCTATTTGATTTCAGGAGATGAAAGATCAACTTCATACTTTAAAATTTCACTTATCTGTAAATTATCAGCATAATATCAGCGTACTTGTAGGTTGAACCCTATCCAGTTCGAGTCCAATACATGACTTGCCCCATTAGTAGATGCTTTACAGTAGCTACTCACTCTCAGAATAGGACCAGCAATGAATATCAAACTTTTTTTTTTTTAAGATTTCTGCAATATTTTCTTCTCATACATACTTACTGTTACTGGCCATGTATTCTTTACTATCCACATTAGAATCATAGAATCCCTACAGTGTGGAAACAGGCCCTTCGGCCAACAAGTCTACACCGACCCTCGGAGCATCTGCCCAGACCCATCCTCCTATAACCCACACACCCCTGAACACTACAGGCAATTTAGCATGGCCAATCCACCTAACCTGCACATTTTTGGACTGTGGGAGGAAATCGGAGCACCCAGAGGAAACCCATGCAGACATGGGGAGGATGTGCAAACTCCACACAGACAGTCGCCCAAGGGTGGAATCAAACCCAGGGCCCTGGTGCTGTGAGGCTGCAGTGCTAACCACTGAGCCACCATGCCGCCTGGTCCATCTATTGTAACAGCTAATGTACATAATTTATTTAAATTCCCTGAAGAAAATAAATCTCCTTTCAACTTATTATCTGTCAACACAGTTTAGTGTTATCAGTAAATCTGTTATTAATGCATCACTAGAAAATTGTAGCAAAGCAGGAGGCCAACCTCTCCATTGTGCTTGTTCTGGCTCTTTGAAAGAACAAATATTCTAATGCGAAGTTCTCTGCTTTTAGTTTGTAAATCTGTCAGTTCCTTATCCTCAAGTACCTGTCCAAAACCTTTAAAATTATTTATGCAGCCATCTTCTACCACCCTTTGAAGTGCAGCTTACCAGATTCTAACAGCTCTGAGTGAAAACATTTCTGATAACCTTCTCTGGAAGGCTAAAAAGCACCAGTCGCACACCAATAGAAAAACTTTGGAAAGCCGTAATAACAATGGATTTCTATCATATATCACTGGTTACATATGGCCCTAATCAGTGTTTGACTTGAAACTTGAGTGCATAACTGGAATGCATCTATCAATTCTCAATCCATCCAGATAAGTTACCGTCTATTCCACTATTCTTAACCATCACCATAATCAGAGGTGTGCAGCATGGAAACAGACCCTTCAGTCCAACTTGTCCATGCCGACCAGATGTTCTCCATTAATCTAGTTCCATTTGCTAGTATTTGGCCAATATCCCTCTAAAACCCTCCTATTCATGACCCATCCAGATACCTTTTAAGTGTTGTATTTGTACCAGCTTCCACCACCTCCCCTCGCAGCTCATTCCATACACGCACTGCCCTCTGCATGAAAAAGTTGCCCCTTAGGTCCCTTTTATATCTTTCCCCTTTCCCCTCTCATCTTAAACCTCTGCCCGTTACTTTTGGACTCTGCTACCCTGGGGAAAAGATCTTGACTATTCACCCTATCTATGTTCCTCATGATTTTATAAACCTCTATAAGGTCACCCCTCCACGGAAAATAGCTCCAGTCTATTAGCATCACCCTGTAGCTCAAACCCTCCAACCCTGGCAACATTCTTGTAAATCTTTCCTGAACTCTTTCAAGTTTCACGACATGTTTCCTATAGCAGGGAGACCAGAATTGAATGCAAAATGGCCTAACCAATGTCCTGTACAGCCACAACATGACCTTCCAAGTCCTGTACTCAACGCACTGACAATAAAGGCAAGCATACCAAATGCCTTCTTCACTGCCCTGTCTACCTGCCATCCTACTTTCAAGGAACTATGAACCTACACCCCAAGGTCTCTTTGTTCGGAAACACTCCCCAGGACCTTACCATTAAGTATTTAAGTCCTGCTCTGATTTACCTTTCCAAAATGCTGCACCTCACATTTATCTAAATTAAACTCCATCTGCCAGTCCTTGGCTCATTTGCCCATCTGATCAAAGTCCCATTGTACTCTGAGGTAACCTTCTTCATTGTCCACTACACCAGCAACTTTGGTGTCATCTGCAAACTTACTAACCATACCTCCTATTTTCACATCCAAATTAAAAAAATTGAAAGAACTACAGATGTTGTAAATCAGAAACGAAAACAAAAATAGAAATGGATGGAAAATTAAGCAGGTCTGGCAGCATCTGTGGAGAGAAATCAGAGTTAATGCTTCGGACACAATCATCTTTCTTTATAATTGATGGTAGTTAGGAAAAGGTTAATATCTATGCAGAGGATGGCATTTTGGCGTGTGTGGGTGGGGTGGGGTGGGGTGAGTACACGACAGGTGAACATAGAACCCAAAGAGAGAGAAAAACAGATGAAGCAGTGTTTTACCTACACTTCACTCAATCTGGTCTCCTCTACACTGGGGAAGTGCAGACTGAATGACTGCTTTGCAGAAAACCTATGTTCTGTCTACAAAAGTGACCCTGAGCTTCCAGTTGTCTGCCACTTTAATGACCACCGTGTTCCCTTGCCAACATCTCTCTCTCTCAGGCTTGCTCTGGTGCTCCAGTGAAGCTCAGAGCAAACTGGAAGAACAGCATCTCATTTTTTGGGGAACCCTGCAGCCTCTGGACTCAATATCCAGTTCAACAATTTTAAAGCTTAAGCATCTTCTTCCATGTCCTTACCCAACCCCCGCACACTAGGCCTTGTCATCACATGGGATGCTACAACATATAAGCCATTGTCAGCTAATAGCCCTCATTAGCAGTTATTCATTACCCCAGATTGACCTTTACCCACTCCTTTGACTGTGAAGCTGTTTTCCTCTCTCTCTTTGGGCTCTAACTCCACCTAGCATTTACTTTTGCCCTTCCCCTCCATCCTGCCCTCTGTATAAATATTAAACCTTATCCTAGCTACCATCAGTTTTGAAGAAGGGTCACTGGACCTGAAATGTTAACTTTCTCTCCATAGAGGCTGCCAGACCTTCCAGCAAGTTCTGTTTGTGCTTTTGTGTTAGATTCAAAATACTCTCTCAAACAGCACTTATAACTCCAGGTATAGCATTCACAATAGCTAAAAAATGGATCAGAGATAGTAGGAACTGCAAACGCTGGAGAATCTGAAGAAGGGACTAGGCCCGAAACGTCAGCTTTCCTGCTCCTCTGATGCTGCTTGGCCTGCTGTGTTCATCCAGCTCTACATCTTGTTACCTCAGATACAAAATGGAGATCACTTTCAGAACAAGAAGAAAATTCCATTTCAATCACTACACATGATAGGAAATTGCTTGATTTCGCCGTAACTTGCTTTAAGAAGATACTTAACTGTTTTGAACTCAAGCAAGAGGAAAATTGATTGAAGAAGCTGAAGCCCCATTTACTGTTCCACCATTTGTGAATTTAATTTCTGATTAAGTGGAAGATAAATTAATAATAAAAAGAGCATAAAATAATAAAAAGTAACCTGTGTGGAAGTTTTGTTTTCGGAGAGTACTGAAGAAAATAGAAAGGAAAATAAGTACCTTTTCTTTCAGCCTTCTTTTCAGTCTATCTTTGGATGACTCCAAAAGATTAACTTTCGGTTGGTCCACCTGTCGATCTGAAATGCTGTCTTTACGTTTTATTTCGGAGTTCTGGAGATTCTGTGGAGTTGGGCTGCTGGGTGGATCCGTAGGCTTATGCATCTCCCCAGACACCTGGACAGGGCTGTGTGAGGGATCCTCACTTTGGACATTACTGCTGTCTTTGGCATTCCTGTTCAACTCCTTGTCATTAGAAGAATGTCTCTGGTTGTGCTGCCACCGACGCTGCTGGCTGTAGCCATGATTTGGTGGACCCTGCTTTCCTGCAGAGTGTGGTGTAGGAGTCTGGTACTGTCTCGAGTGATCTCGGTTGTGTTTTGTGTTGCTCGGCTGATGCTCGCCATGTTGTTGTACTTTGTTTCCCCCTGGAGTCCTCTGCTGTCTCCTACAAATAAGGGCAATTTCTCATAAGTAGGATTCATTCACAAAATAAAGTTTACCTATTACTCTCTTCAGCTCACCAGGCACACTTTTCTATGCAAGTGTGCTGCACAATATTTTCCTTAAAGAGTTCGAATATGCTGATATATATTTTGCTGCAGTGTTAATATTTATTAAACAGAAAATTTGTTTTTCTAACAGTTCAGTGGATGAATATACTCTCTAATATGGATTGGCCCACACAGATCAGAAAGGGCCCTGGATCAATATGGAATTTTCTTTGTGTTGACCTTCTTTTACGTACAGGTCGATATTAACTTAGGTGCATTTCAGTCGTTGCAATCATTGTCAACGAAGGGCTAGAACAAAATGTCAGCAGGATTGCTCTTCTAGAGCATTATCCAGAGACCTCTGCTGGAATGTGTCTGTATGTGAAGTACTTCTGGATGTCTTACTTTATTAAAGGCACAATACAAATGTAAGTTTCATAGAATCCCTACAGTGTGGAAACAGGCCCTTTGTCTCAACAAGTCCACACCGACCCTCAAAGCATCCCATCCAGACCCATCCCCCTATAACCCACCTAATCGACACATTCCTGAACACTACGGGCAATTTAGCATGGCCAATCCACCTAGCCTGCACATCTTTGGACTGTGGGAGGAAACCAGAGCAGCTGGAGGAAACCCACACAGACACAGGGAGAATGTGCAAACTCCACACAGACAGTCACTCGAGGGTGGAATTGAATCCGGGTCCCTAGTGCTGTGAGGCAGCAGTGCTAACCACTGTGCCACCGTGCCACCCATTTGTCATTTGGTTTCAAAATCCGACTCTAAGATGGCACACCAAGATTGGACAGTATTGGCATTAAGCACACATGTTCATGAGGGATGTGCCATTGGTGTTGTTCTCAACCAGTAGAACATAGAACATAACAGCGCACTACAGGCCCTTCGGCCCTCGATGTTGCGCTGACCTGTGAAACCAATCTGAAGCCCATCTAACATACACTATTCCATTATCATCCATATGTTTATCCAATGACCATTTAAATGCCCTTAAAGTTGACGAGTCTACTACTGTTGCAGGGAGGGCATTCCACGCCCTTACTGCTCTCTGAGTAAAGAACCTACCTCTGACAACTGTCCTATATCTGTCACCCCTCAATTTAAAGCTATGTCCCCACGTGCTAGCCATCACCATCCGAGGAAAAAGGCTCTCACTGTCCACCCTATCATTAATGTCATTAATCTATATTTTCCTGTACAGCAATGATAATAAGAAGCAGAAGCTCTGGCTGATCTTTCTCCTCCTTGTTTTGGAAGATCTATTGTCACACCCTACTGCCAATGTGGTTGGGATTCACTAACTCACCACAGATTAGGGATCAAAACTGGGGCCTTCCTTGTCTGTCTGACTCAGGACAAAGCTACTTGTTTACCTACTGAGTCATCAAGGGAGTTCTACCACAGAGAGACCAATTTCTAAATAAGGAGTCACATAAATCGTAATATGTCTCTCATCTCCTTTTAAATCGATTTTTGCATAACAATATGGATTGTCAGCTTTGACTGGGCCTATTCTGGGAGAGGTTAGCCAGGCGACATCACAGAAAGCTGGTGATATGCATGAGTAGGTGAAACTAGAAGTGGTTAGAAAGCTATGTAGAAAGGTTAACGCTGAGATAAGGTAGAAAGATGACATAAACATCACAGACTAATTTAGATTGATGATTCAATTTAATATTTTTCTAATCAACCTCTTGTCACACACTGTTGAAGCAGGGGGGACGCAAGCCCAGGTCAATCTGATTCAGATGTGTGTGAAAGAACACTACCACTGCACTATAGAGACCCAATAGTGAGTGAGAGCGAATGAATCTGTCTCCACTAAATGCTGCTCGAGTTTCAACAATTCCTTCCCCTGGCAGTCATTCTCAGGGGATACAAATCTACAGTACACTATAGCCTGCCTTAGACTCATTAGTAACGTTAATTATACTAATCATATCTAAATCTAAGGGACATGCATTTTTGACGAGAGGGGGAAGTTCAAAGGAGATATGAGGGCCAAGATACTTTTTTTTACACACAGAGAATGGTAGGTGTCTCGAACACGCTGCCAGGGGCATTTAAGGGACTTTTAGATAAGTACATGACCATGGAGGGATATGGACCAAAGGCAATCATGTTCGGCACAACATCGTGGGCTGAAGGGCCTGTTCCTGTGCTGTACAGTTCTATGATTCACTAGTCTCAGCTGAGTCTAAACACGGCTCAAAAATCAATGCTCCTTCCTTCATCTCTGACTGGAGTGGTTGGAAGGCAGTCTGGATATGTCTGTTATGTCTCATCTGCTGACACACGGTCAAGATTTTCAGTTGGTGTGGAAATGGATTCCTGGTAAAAGGAACGTGATTAGCTGATGGCCATTCCCTGATGGTGGGAAGGTCAGGTGGTACTTGAGCTTGATCTCTGATTGGCTGGCAGCCAGTCTTGGGAGCTGACATATTCCTGGGATGCTGTGTTTGGCCTCCAAGAGACTGAGGCTGGTTCTGGTGGACTATCAGCCATTCCTGAAGGGCTGACAACTCTAACAATCAGTGATTTACTGTTTTGATATGATTCTACGAGATGTTTTGTTAAGAATCTGTTGGTCCCGCTACTGCCTTAGAGTCATAGAGATGTGCAGCATGGAAACAGACCCTTGGGTTGCCCCTTGCGTCACTTTCAAATCTTTCCCCTCTCACCTTAACCTTTATTTTTGGACTCTGCTACCCTGGGGAAAAAGACCTTGACTATTCAACCTATCTATGGCCCTTATGATTTGAAAAACTTCCATAAGGTCACCTCTCAGCCTCCAATGCTCCAGGGAAAATAGCCCCAGCCTTTTCAGTCTCTCCCTATAGCTCAAACCCTCCAACCCTGGCAACATCCTTGTACATCTTTTCTGGACCCTTTCAAGTTTCACAACATCCCTCCTATAGCAGACAGACCAGAATTGAACTCAGTATTCCACAAGTGGCCTAATGAATGTTTTGTACAGCTACAACATGACCTCCCAACTCCTACACTCATTGCCCTGATCAATAAAGGCAAGCATACTAAACACCTTTTTCACTATCCTGTCTGCCTGCGACTCTACTTTCATGGAATTATGAACTTACATTCCATGCTCTCTTTGTTCGGCAACACGCCCAGCACCTTATCATTCAGTCCTGCCCTGATTTGTCTTTCCAAAATGCAGCACCTCACATTTATCTGAATTAAACTCCATCTGCCACCCCTCGGCCCAGTGGCTCATCTGATCAAGGTCCCGTTGTACTCTAGGGCAACCTTCTTCGCTGTCCACTACACCTCCAATTTTGGTGTCGGCTGCAAACTTACTAACCATACCTATGTTCACACCCAAATCATTTATATAAATGACAAAAAATAGTGGACCCAGCACTGGCATCTTTTTTTTTAATAAAGTGTATTTCAACACTTGTTGTCACGATTTTTTCTGCTAGTTCGGACATTAAAGCATTGAACTATAACTATTTTTTATTGCCAATATTGGGACTCATGTAGGTCACAGTGCAAATTTTGAGGGATAATTCAGAAAATCTTTCCCCACCCTCAGTAAAATAATGGAAAATAATTAGCCTGAAATCTACTTTTTGTTACAAACATTCTCAACACTTTTCAGTGTTTGCAAGTATTTCTTTACATAGATTTAAAACTTATTGAAAAGCCAAAAAGTTCTTTCTTTTGCAATCTCTTGCAGTTCTGTTCTGTCGCTATGGTGTGCATTATTCTTAGACCTGTAGGGCAAATAGAAAAATTGTTTTCAGGCCCTGCCATTGCTAATAATTAAGAATTGCAAGCTTCAACTGGGAAGGGAGGACTGGCCCTTGATTTCCCTCTGGTTTCACTCAATATCTATTTGAGATGAAATGGCTGAGATTGGCAAGTTATTGTATTGGTAATCATGTACTTTTCAGTATAAATCTAATATCCAAGTACGTAGACCCAAGCGCAAAATACTCTGAATGCTGGAAATCCGAATTAAAATCAAACAGACATGCTAGAAAAACTTAGCAGATTGGGAAATATCTATGGAGAGACAGAGTGAATATTACAGGCTGATGGTCTTTCATTTGAAATTGATGAGACATTTAAAGGGATTGTTTTAGCATTGAATATAAGGAATGTACAACAAAGTGTAGTAAATTGTGCAGAGGGCTGTAAATGACTTGAGGACATAGACAAGTTATTAGACTGAGAAGAAAGTATTCAGATGAAATTTAATGAAACAAAACGATATATTAAGAGATATGCTAAACAGTAAAACTTTCAATTGGGCAGAGGAGCAGAATAACTTGGTGGTTCAAATACATTAATTTAAAAAAAAAGTGGTGAAACAAATTCACAAAGCTGCATTAAAAAGCATATATGGTCCTGGGATATTGGAAAGATATTTTGGGGAATTTTAACACCCCAGAATGGGGATCAGTTTGGATCAGCTGTAAAGTTAAAATGTTAAAAATCTGAATTCCAACTTTAAATCACCCATTTGGTTTTATCCAAGGCACGGTGAGCAGTGGGCAAGGAACTCAGTCTCAGGGAACAGGATTGCAATTTAAGTGTTCTAGCAAGTCCGTGTATTTTATTTTTATTCACCATTTTAAATTCAAATTTAACAGGGGATGGTCAGGTTGTTACAGGAAAGGAAGGATTGCTGGTAGCCCCTTTGATCAGATACACTACACTACACCCACCCGTCCAAGATCCTTCCAATCTCCTGCAATCGCCCTCTTAGTAATGCCCCATCCCTCCCTTCTAAGGCCTCCATGCTCCTCTTTGTAGTGTTTAATTGTCTAATGTTTGTTTGTACATATATCTGGTATCTGGTTTCTGTTCTCTGTTCACTCTGCGTGATTAGGTAAGCCTGGTTGTGGTGATTAAGAAAAAGACTGTAGGCAAGCTGCTGGAAGCATGACATTTTAAAGCACTGTAA